CAAATATCACCTTTCCACGTAGGAATGTAAACAGTTAAACTAAAGCCCCTTATCTTATGATTTCTCTTTCCTGTTTATCTTTTCATGCTTCTCTTGAGTCTTGTATTTGAAAGTCAAATTTTCTATTCAGCTCTGGTCTTTTCATCAAGAATACTTGAAAGTCCTGTATTTCATTGAATATCCATTTTTTCCCCTTAAGGATTATACTCAGTTTTGCTGGGTAGGTGATTCTTAGTTTTAATCCTAGCTCTTTTGACTTCTAGAATATCATATTCCAAGCCCTCTGACCCCTTAATGTAGAAGCTGCTAAATCTTGTATTATCCTGATTGTGTTTCCACAATACTTGAATTGTTTTTTTCTGACTGCTTGCAATATTTTCTCCTTGACCTGGGAACTCTAGAATTTGGCTATAATATTCCTAATTTTCCTTTTCCCTTCCTTTCCTTTCAGGAAATGATCAGTGAATTCTTTCAATTTCTATTTTACCCTCTGTTTCTAGAATATCAGTGCAGTTTTCCTTGATAATTTCTCATGGCTTTCAGGTAGTCCAATAATTTTTAAATTATCTCTCCTGGATCTATTTTCCAGGTCAGTTGTTTTTCCGGTGAACTATTTCACACTGTCTTCTATTTTTTTATTCATTTGGTTTTGTTTCATAATTTCTTGATTTCTCATAGAGTCATTAGCTTCCATTTGCTCCATTCTGATTTTTAAGGTATTATTTTCTTCAGGAGCTTTTGGACCTCCTTTTCTATTTGACCAATTCTTTTTTTTTTCTGGCATTCTTCTCCTCATTGGTTTTTTGGACCTGTTTTGCCATTTGGGTTAGTCTATTTTTTAAGGTGTCATTTTCTTCAGTATTTTTTTGGGTCTCCTTTATCAATCTGACTCATTTTTTCATGATTTTCTTGCATCACTCTCATTTATCTTCCCAATTTTTCCTCTACTTCTCTTACTTGCTTCTCAAAACCCTTTTTGAGCTCTCCCATGGCCTGAGACCAATTCATATTTTTCTTGGAGGTTTTGGATGTAAGAGCTTTGACTTTGTTGTCCTTAGGAGCTTTGACTTTGTTGTCTTCTTCCGGTTGTATGTGTTGATCTTTGTCACCAAAGTAAGATTCCATAGTGTGAATTTTTTTCAGTGTTTGCTCATCTTCCCAGCCAATTACTTGACTCTAACTTCGTTAAGGTTGGGCTCTGCTTCCAGTGTGGAGGGTGTACTGTCCCAAGCTTCAAGGATTTTGTCCAGCTATTTTCAGAGATACTTCTAGGGACCTGTAAATTTTCAGTTCTTCCAAGGTGGTACGATCAAGGGCAAGGTGTTTAATCCTTTCCTGTCTTGTGCTCTGGTCTATGAGTGACCACAAGCACTCTTTCCTGCCTTGGAACTGTAAGGAGGATTCTCTCTCCACTACTGCCTCAAGCTCCGCCATGCCAGCACTTCTCCTTGCCCCAGGACCACCACCCAGGACTGCAACCCAGATCCAAGCATAAGCAAAGCAAGAGAATCCTGCCTCTGTGCCAGCAAAGAGACCCCTGCAATCCCCCTCTGATCAGCTGCTCGATCCTCCCACCATCTGTGGGCCAAGAGCTCCAGAAGCAGCTGCCACTCTCCCAGGGCTGCACCAGGGTTGAGGCTGGACCACACTCCTTTCTCACCCAGGACTGACAGACCTTTTCTACTGACCTTCTAAGTTGTCTTTGGTGTTTGTGGGTTGAAAAGTATGGAAACCACCACAGCTGCCAGCGATTCAGTTCCCTGAGGCATGCTCCAGGTTCACTGGGGCCTGGTCTTTGCCTATGCAGTCCATGCTGAACTGCGTTCCTCTCCCAGCCCAGCACAACAGCACTTTCCCATCAACCATCCAGGTTGTCTTGGGCTGGAAATTTGTTTCACTCTGTCTTTTTTTGTGGGTTCTGCTGCTCTACAATTTGTTTAGTCATTTTTTACAGGTATTTGAAGGGGGTTGGGGGAGAGCTCAAGCAAGTCACTGCTTTTACTCCACCATCTTGGCTCCGCCCCCCGGCTACTGGCTTCTGAACTTTCTCCTTTCTTTTACTTTTTTTAATTAATTTTTAGTTTTCATCATTTACTTTTCTAAGATTTTGAGTTCTAAGTCATCCCCCCCTTCAGCAAGACAGCATGCAATCTGATATAGGCTATACATGCACAATCATACTAAACATATTTCCACATTAGTCATGTTGTGAAAGAAGAATCAGAACAAAAGAGAAAAACCACAAGAAAAAAAAAAGAGAGAAAACAGTATGCTTCGATCTGCATTTAGATTCCATAGTTCTTTCTCTGGATGTGGATAGCATTTTCTATCATGAGTCATTTGAAATTATCTTAGATTATTGCATTGATCTGAAGAACTAAGTCTATCAAAGTTGGTCATTACACAATGTTGCTGTTACTGTGCACAACATTCTCCTGGTTCTGCTCACTTTACTCAGCGTCGGTTCATTAAGTCTTTCCAGGTTTTTCTGAAGTCTGCCTGCTCATTATTTCTTATGGAACAATAGTATTCCATTACATTCATATACCACAACTTGTTTGTCCATTCCCCAATTGATGGGCATCCCCTCAATTTCCAATTCTTTGCCACCACAAAAAGAGCTGCTAGAAATATTTTTGGTACATGTGGATCCTTTTCTTTTTATGATCTCTTTGGGATACCGACTTAGTAATAACTTCCTCCTTTCTTGATATACCATCTAGGACCTCCCTACTCCCTCCTTTTCCATCTTGGTTCTGCCTCATCTTTTTCCTTTAAAAAATATCATTTATGCAAATATTTTATCACCTCTCTCTCTCCACCAATTGAATAAAACAAATTTAAAACCTTATAACAAATATTCGTAGTCAAGCTAAACAAATCCTTACATTGGCCATGAACAAAAATACATGCGATTCTGCACTTTAAATCCATTACTTCTCTGGCAGAAGACGGAAGACCTTTTGTCTTGACTTCTGGATTCATGGTTTTTTATTGCATTGATGAGAGTTCTAGTCTTTGAAAGCTGTTTTTCTTTATGTTGTCACGTAAATTGTTCTAGTTCATTCTACATCAGCTCATAAGTCTTCTCAGTTTCCTCTGAAACCATCCATTTCATCATTTCTTATGGCACAATATCATAGTCCACTGTGCACATACACTTTAATTTTAGCATTCTCCAATAGGTGGCTACCCCCTTAGTTTCCAGTTTCATGCTACTTTTTAAAGAGCTGATACGTTTTTGTGCATGTGGGCCCTTTCCCTCTTTGTTTGGTATCTTTCAGGGTATAGGCCTAGTAATTGTCAAAGGGTATACACAATTTAATAACTCTAGGCATAGTTCCAAATTGCTTTCCACAATGGCTGGAACATTTAATTCATAGCTCCAACACTGCACCTGTGTATCTGATTTGCCCCAGCCCCTCTAACATTTGTCATTTTCCTTTGGTCATCTTTGCCAATCTGATAGGTGTGAGGTGGAACCTCAGAGTTGCCTTAATCTGTATTTCTCTAATTGGTAGTGATTTGAAGCACTTTTGCATAGTTGTGGATTGTTTGGATTTTTTTTCTTTGAAGACTGTATCTTTTAACCATTTATCTATTAGGAAATGACTCAGTCTTATAAATTTAAATCAGTTTGTTAAATATCTTGGATAAGATACCTCTGGCAAAGAAACTTGTGAAGATTTTATCCCGTTACCTGTTTCCCTTCTAATTTTAACTGCATTAGATTTGTACAAAACTTTTTTAATTTAATAAAATCAAAATTGCCCATTTTGTTTTCCATGATTCTCTCTATTGCTTGCTTGGTCATAAACTCTACTGCTATCCACAGATTTGAAAGGAAACGTGTTCTTTGTTCTACTTTGCTTATGATGTCACCTTTACATCCAAGTCACACATCCACTTGTTTTATCTTGGAAAACAGTGGGAGATGTTGGTCTATTCTATTCCTGGTTTTTTGCCAGACTTTTCCAATCTTCCCAGCAGTTTTTGTCAAATAGTGAGGCTTTACCCCAAAATAACTGGGGTTATCCCAGTCATTAAGTCCCCAAGATTTAGCGGTGGGACCCCAGAAGAGAACTATTTCCTGAGGAAAATCACGAACTACAAGAAACAAGACAGTCACTAGAAGCAAAGTAGGCTAGGAGTGAGCAGGTTGCGTTTAATCCAGCTTTGCTCTCACCTTGCAGTGAGGACTCCACAGTTACACTTCTCTGAGACCCTGCAAGCCTATTTCTACAGTGAAGAACAATTCCTGGTTTTCTCCCTATTTGGGCTGGTGTAAGCACCCTTAGGTCTAGAGTCTGCGTCAGAATCAGAGTTTAGAGGGAACTCAACAAGGATCACCTCCTCAACAAAAGGTCATCAAAACGAAAAGTGATTTTAAAAAAAAACAAAACTCTCAGAAGGCAGATATCATAGACAACAAAAGTGATGTATCTCTTCCTTTTCTCTGAATGGCCGTGCACACACGGGAACTAGACACCCTGACTGAGATCCTGGGCCATAGAGTAGGGCACAAAGAGTTCCTTCCTGTAGTTTCCCAATAGGACCACGAAAGAATAGGGAGCTTTATGGGAAAGAATTCCAACTTCTATCAGTCTTTCCTTCTACCTGTCCCCAGAAGCAAACAGCAGGACTCAACCTGGCTTTATGGCTGCCACCAGGGGAAAAAATAGCTAGAGGAACCAGAGGTAGGGAAAGTAAGTCTAGAAATCTGATTAGCAGGAAAATGCAAGATCCTCCTGGGAGTCTAAGTTCTCTCTTTACTCAGAGTACCTAAGTTTGCCCTCCTAGGGAAGGCTTAGGTAAGACACCTCCAACTCAAATCATTTGGCATGGATCAGGTGAAGTCTAGGCCTTGCTGGAGAACTATTTTCTTGGACAGGAAAGCACCTCCCATTGGAGGGAACTGTCTCTACTGGGTTGTCCATGGGAAAGGCTAGGGAGAGTGAGACATCAATTGCAACAAGCACCACACAGCTATTGCTGTCCATTAGAACATTTATTTCTCAGGGAGAAAAAAAAGTTTCAGACAGTCATATTATAGTAGGTAAAATTAACTTTTGTCTTCTTTACAAGCATAGATTTTTCTTTTTTTTAATTACCTCTCTTATACCATCTGATATAAACAATTCTAGAAAGCAAATAAAGTCACTTTCTACAATAAATAGAGCATCGTGTGCTTCTTCACAGCAGACTCGACAGTGACGCATGGGCCCGGTGCCACAGCAGGATCTCAGCCAATTCCCATTCTAAAAGATCATTTTAAAAAAGAGAAAGAGACAGAGAGACAGAGAAAGGGGCAGGGGAGAAAGCCCCAAGATCTTAAAACACAGGTTTAGACACAGGTCACAAAGTCCACAGCTGATCAACTACCTGGGGGAAAGCATTGGCTCCTTTCAATAAAATGGCACTCACTGTGTGAGTTTAAAAGACCCAGCCACACAATTGGGGGTTGGGAGTGGACGGGCAGGGGCGGGGGGGACTTTCAAGAAGGGAAACAATAGGCCTGAATAATTTAGAACAATATCTTACAACTATGTACATCACATCTTTCCCTATCCACACGGCTCTAGGCATCATATTATTTTACAAAAAACCCAAACCCCAGCCATCCTTTCAATGGTACGGACCTGCTCTGTTGGTTTACCCTTAAACTCTGGCTCATGTCCCAAACGTATAAGTAGTGGTGGGTGGGTATTTTGTTTGTTTTCTTCCCTTTTAAAAAGTCGACTGAGTAGAAATGGCAGTGATCTCCCCCCAGGATTTCATTTCATCCAAAATTCCCCTATGAAAAATTTAAAACAATTAAAAAAAAGAACAACAGGTTAAAAAGCAACGCAGTGCTTGGTGGTCTGCAACCAGGCCCTGTGACTTTGGTGCTAGAGTGTAGGGGGGAAACAACTGGGGACTGAGGGCAGAAGAGAACAGATATCAACACTTCTGGTTGACATTCCCAGTTCACAGTTTTTTAGGGGTTAGGGAGGTGAAGGAGATACTGAAATGAAAGGTTTTTTGTTTTTTTTTGTTGCAGGGTTTTATCCTCCCCTCCACCTGAGGGTTCTGCTGTACGAGTAACAGGGAGGAGCAAGGCTGTGAAGAGGAGGAGAGGGACAAGAGGTACTGCTGGCACAACTTGAGGGCCCAGCAAGCAGGGACCTTACCCACAATGGAGGACAAAGTAGGTGAAAAGAGAGGAAAGAGGTGACTGGGAAAAGGGGAAGGGAGTATCAGGTCAGACACAGCCGGAGGGCAACAAGAAACTTTCAAACACTAATGACATCCAGTGTCTGAGGAGGGAAGGGTCCTTCCCTATCATGCTGTTCTTCAGCCATAAAGTTGGAAAATGGAGACATCTATCACTGCAGCCTTGTCTATGCCTCAGTTACCCCAGGGAAAAAAAAAAACCCCACAGGATGCTGAGACACCTGCACTCTTAGGGACCAAATTAATGAAGTCTAACCCCGAGGCAATGTCTATTTCCTGATTCTGTTTCCCGGGGGTGGATGTTGGTATTACAGATGTTTTACTAGTTTCTGTCCTGGTGTCCTGGAAAGGGCCACACCTGGTGACCCTGCCCTTATAGCAGCCAGATCTACAGGGAAACTGGGACTTTAAAAAATAATTTAGTTTGGTGAGAATTTCTATCAATTTGGCACAAGAGAGTAAGCAAAGGAGCAAAAGTGTGAGCAAGTGAGAGAAAAAAGGGGAGAGAGGAAATCTTACAGAAGAAGTGATAGTGAGTGAGCAGCAGAGAGGGGATGCACAAGATGGGCTCAGCAAGATTCTCCATGGGACCCTAGTGTATCTACAGCACCTCTGGGGTCAAGATCAGATCCTTGCCCAATCTGAGGTGTACTGGGGGGGGGGGGGTAGCAGCCCCTGGGCTGTCGAGCTCAGGAGCCATCCTCCACAGCAGGGCCCACATCCCAGCTTCTGTCCCTGCCTCTAGCTGGCTCTTCAGGAAATCATCCTCTGAAGGAACTCAGCTAGGAATTTTTGGCACATGATAGGGCCGACCATGGGAGTCATGCTGCTGTCCACAACAGGACGTTTCTCCATGGACTCTTCAGGCTCCAGCCCCCTATCCTCCACAGCACCAGGGAGAGGCTGTCTGCCGTTCGTCCCACCACAGGGAGGGCAGGGTTCCCCACTCCAGGATCAGAGGCAAAGGCAGGCAGGCCACGTCCCACTCCCTTACAGGTAACCAGAGGTGACAAAAGGATGGTGGCCCCGAACCCGGCTCAAGTGGATCATGGCACGGTCATAGGCCACTTGCACAGACTTGCGAATGCTGGTCTTGCGGCCCTCCAGCATCTTCAATTTGTCCACGGTGTCTTCTACTCCTAGGGGAAGGACTTTGTCCCGAGGAAGCCACTGCCTGCAACCCAAAAACAAGACCAGCCCTGCTTACCAGGAAGCCCAGGCCACAAGCAGGTACCTTAATGGATATTCCCTCCAAGTCCTTTTTAATTTGGAAGAAGGGCATCACTTTTTTTAATTTATTTATTTGGCGAGGCAATTGGGGTTAAGTGACTTGCCCAAGGTCACACAGCTAGTAAGTTATGTCAAGTGTCTGGTCTGAGACCAGATTTGAACTCAGGTCCTCCTGACTCCAGGGCCGGTGCTCTATCCACTGGGCCACCTAGCTGCCCTGTGCACCATTTTTTTAAAAGAGTATCTATCATTATGAATTATCTTTGCTAATTAATGCTCCCATGGCCATCAATGGTTGGTTTCTCAGTCATCTCCCTTCATACTTCTCATATCATTTCTAATCTAGAGCCCCAATCCCAGGAAAGCAGGACAGAGAAGTTAAGCCTCACAAAGCCAGAGTGAGAGCAAAAGGATAGGATATGGTGAGAGACAGAACCTTGACTGAGATGAAATAAAAACAAACCCTGAAGGGTGTCTCAAAAGGTTTCCAAAAAACAAAATTAAAAACAAAAAATGGCCAGAGTGATAAGTGATGTGTGTCCAGTGGTGAGGGATTGGAGACAATTGATCCTAGCTTGTTCCCAAGGCCTTTAGGGGATTAGATCTGCTTGAAGGGTTGTTAATGCCCACAACCGCAGGCCCATCTAGCCAAGCCTAGCTAGCTTAAAAGGTTCATCTGCCCCTAGTTCTGACAAGCAGAGCCATCCCTAGGGTTTGCAGGCTCCACAGTACTACAGGAATCAGGTAGCTAAAACAACAAAGAGACTCAAGAGTGTCAAAAGGACAAGAAGGTGGCACCTCCAGCTGGCACCAAAAAAGATTAAGTCGCTCATAACAATCAGTTCATAGCCTCCCTCCTGTTTTTCTAGTCACTAAGGCAATGAGGATGGGACAGAGGCTGAATGCCCAGTTCATCACTACTAAGCCAGTTTCCAAAAGCTAAGAGAAAAGATCATTCAGGCCCATGAATAGCACCCTACGAAAAGTACCCCAGACTCTAAATTCAAAATGTCTAAGGCATTTAACTAGTCGACCAATCTCACCTCTTTGGAAATCAAGTGTCAGGGGAAAAGAGGCAGGGAAAATCTACTGGAGAAGTGGGAGATAGAAGACCACGAGTACCTACTCACCAGGTCCGCTTGTTGTCAAAGAAGAGGACAAGGAAGAGTTTCTCTCCAGCCTCCACTTGCTTCTGCTCCCCCAGCTTTAGCACATCCAGTGGTGGGACAGGAATAGGCACACCGTTGTGCAGAAGGCCCTCACGGGGCATCTTGGGATCAATAATCTGGTAAGAATCAAAAAACAAATGCTACCCCAGTAAGTAGAGAAATGGAATCAGCAAATTTTCTCATACAAGGGATGAAGCTCTTAGTCATTCAACTCCAAAGCTGTCCTTCAAAGAGTTTTAACCTCTGCTCACAACTACACTTACAGAGGCCTTAGGGATTTTATCTCTCCTATTCTCATTGCCCTAGAAAGGGAATCCTGAGTAAATTCCTTCTTAGACTGCTCATCATTCTAAACCTCCCTTGAACCCCTGGGCTCAAGCCTGCTCCCTAAGAAGTATTCCATACAATACAAAGGGACATTTTGGGGAAGTTCCTTAATGTGGGGGGTCATAACTGAATGAGACTGCTCTTGATGATGTGAGGTAAACAAGCTGTCCTCTTCATTTCTTATATTCATTCATTTGAGCAAAGAGAGTCAGTACCAGTCTCTTTTTCTGTCCTTTTTACTTTTTAAATTATCATAATTCATTTTAGATGCCCTCGTGAGCTGAGGCATCTCAGATGCATTAAGGTCTTGTTTATGTAGCAGAGGTGGGTGGCTATGTGTCAGGAGACGAAGGGTTAATGCTACATTTGAGGTAGCACTATCATGAGAAGTATATTTCATAGACATATAGTCACCTACATCAGTATATCACAGTCTTCCCTGTTAAGGGCCTCAATTGCTTTGACCTCAATAACCTCAACAATTTTGGCCAAAACAACATTATGGACAGAAGACATTTGGGGCTCCAAAAGAGGACTTTATTTGCTCACACAGAAAGTCCAGTTTATAGGGTTGAGGATCAGAGGGCTAATAGAAAGGAGGTTGTTAGGAACAGAGTCAACACAAAGAAATGAGTCACTGGAAATCCCCCTAACATAATGTAAGATCCTCCTCAAGGGCAGGGGCTGTTTTTATTTTTGTTTTTTGTATCCCAATGCCTAATACAGAGCCTGGCACACAGGAGACACTTAATAGATGTGCAGACATCTTATCCTCCCCACCTCCCCAAGAATCAGACTTTAAAAGCTCATTGTTACATTGGTCCTAACCCTAGCATCATCACAGCAACAATCCCTTAGGTTTGTTTGGCGTTTTTCAACTTCTCAAGGCTCTCTCATATCTGGTTGTTTGGTTTTTTTTTTAAAGTTTACCCTGAAGTAGCTCCCCATTTAACAGAAGAGCAAATGGAGACTCAGACAGCAGATGCGAGGTGATGGGCTTGTCACACAGCTACTCAGTGACAGAACCATCCCTCCTAGTCTTGTCCTCTCAAGCTGTTTTCAGTACACCAGTCCAGTCACTGCTGCTGCTGCCACAGTCACCTCCTCCTTACTCACTGTTCAGCTACCTCCAGAGACTGAGAACAGCTGGCCATTATTCTCTGTACAATAAGCCAACAGGGACTTGTATAACCTGACTGAGAAAAGCTCCAGAGACTAATCTTTTCTCATAAATTGCTCCTCACTCACCTCTGGATCTTTGCCACTCTCTCTTAAATTCCTCTTAAGATATAGACCTGAAAACAGATAAAGCCTCCCCTAAGAGGAGACCAGCAACAATTACTCTTAGGACGACTGGACACACGCCCAGCTGGGTGTTCATTCCAAGCCACTCTTCCCAGACTGGGGGGCAATCAGCTGAGCCCCAATGTGAGTAGACACCAGATGACAGGACGTAATTTAGACTACTGGTTTATATTAGAAGTCCTCACATATTTTGTCCTCATTAAAGATCACAGGAGAACGTGTGCTCTGCACTCTTTGGTTTACACACCAAAATAAGTGAGTTACTTTGACGGCACTTAGAGAACTTGCAAATGGTTAGCTCAAAAATCTGTTCCAAGCACATAAGCAAAAAGGGAAAATCTGCTATTCCTATGTCGTCTTTTCAAACTTCTTAAGAAGCTAAGTATATATTGGCCCTTTTTCATCTTCCATGAATTCACTAATCTTCAAGCCCATTCTTCAAATGTCATGAGTTTTGGAAGCCTTATTATAAGGCCTTTGGCTCTAAGCTCTGTTCGGCCCTGCCCACACCTCACTCTCCTCTAATCCTGGACCCCCTAGTAGTCACAGTTATAAAAATAGATGCAAAATAATAATTCTGTACCTGACACAAATACTCTAAATTTCTCATTCTATGCTTGGCTCTGCAGCCAGAGAAGTCTGAACTAGAAACCAATCAACATTTGGTAAGTGCCTACTACGTGCCAGGCACTCTGCTAAGTGTTGGAATCAGAGGTTTTGATCCTGCCTTGGCCACTCTCTTGCTTTGGGACATTCAAAGTAGATCACTTTACTTCTCTGAAAACATACCTGTTTTTTTTTTCATCTGCCCTACTTAATTCCCAGTACTGCTGGTGGAAGAGCTTTGAATAGTGGAGAACATGCAAGAGGTTATCATGTTTAGCAAGAAGCAGAGCACAAAATCCCTGCTGGAGGAAATGCCCAGACAATGAAACACAAAAGCCTCTGAGCTCACTTCATAAGTGTCCCAAAATGAACACTTTAATAGTCTGAGGCACTCCAGACTAGAGTACAAGCTTTCTTTGGTGACTAAAGTCCCAAGTCACAGCTATTTTTATGAGATAAAAACCCCAAAGGAAGAAAGAACCTGGGACAGGGACTTACCAAGGCAGGGTAGGAAGGATAGCCTCGGCACTTGGCCCACACCAGCTCTAAGGGCTCCAGGTCTGCATTATCTTCCAAAGGCATCAAGAGGCTTCTGCCTGGGGGGTGGGGGTAGGGTTGAAGAGAAGGGGCAGAGACAGCTGACTCAAAATGACACTCAGATTCCGTACTAACACCCCATCCCCAACCTCTGAGGTGGCCCGTGGGGCCTGGGAGTTTACAAGCAAGATTTCTCCCCTCCCCAGAAGTTCTTTATTAAAAGAAATTCTTTTAAAGTCTGAGACCCAGCCCAACTCAGTAAACCACCCACAAAGGTGCCTCAATTGGTCAGGGAGAATTTAATTGTTTCACCACTGCAGGGAAAAGAAAAGGCTTACTGGAAAAGCTAAGCAACCTCTCCATTCCCCCCACTCCATGATCCCAGTCTGGATTCTCATCAGTACAGTGGCTCAGCAACTCTTTATCTGCAAAATGTTCACAGCAGTGGCTGGGTGTTGCCAGGAGATAGAAGCCTGTGTAGGAGGCACCAAATTGACTTGCAAAATGACTCTAGGTATGGCAACACCCTGCCCTTCTCCCCAGGGAGTAAAACCTATAGCTCAAGTGGCTGCTGCAGGGTAGGACCAGGCCAAGCAAGCCAGAAGTTGGTGTTTGTGTCTAGGGCAGGGAGAGCTTATTGCCAGGTCATGCCATACATTATTATTTGCACATCCTGTCCATACATACTGGCATCAGGTTGTTGGAAAAGAAACCCTAAAGAAAGCAAAGGATACGTTTAACTCCCATTGTGCTATGACAATGCAGTTATCACATGTGGAAAGGACAGGTTCTTTCTCACTTCCCACTTCTATAAGTAGTGCAAGCTCACATTCAACAAGGAAATGAAGCAAAGCTCCGGAGAAGAGGGTCATTTTTTTTTTAGATCTTTCCTACTTCTGCTCCTCACCTTTTGGCCATCTGAACTCTCTGCTTTAAGGTAAGGGGGACATACAAAACTACCCTTTTTTATTCTTTTTGAGGAATTTGCTTAAAAGTTTTGACGGAATCAAAGACTGAGGGAGTAGAAAGGACCTTAGGGATTAATGAATGCAAACCTTTCCCTGAAGCCACAGCTCTTGTAATAGGAACTACCTCCCAAGGCAGTTCAGTCCTTTCAGGGACCACTAATTGTTAGGAAGTACTTCCTATGTCAAGCTAAAATCTGCCTTCCCTGCAATGTCCACTTATTGGTCCTAGTTTTGTTCTTTGGGGCTAAGCAGAATAATCTAATCCTTCTTCCATGTGACAAATCATCAAAAATTTGAGCACTACAACCATATTCCCACCTAAGGCTTATCTTTTCCAGGCTAAACATCAGTTCCTTCAACTTCCTGTAGCTTTCAGAACCCTCAGCATTTTGGTTTTCTTTCTCTGAAGAGCTCTACCTTGTCAATGCCCCTCTTCAAATGTGCTAACAGAGACACCTACTACTTGGTAGTTCAAACAGGATAAGGAAGGAGTTGAAAGCACTGGCTAAAATTTAATTTGGAGATCCTGACATGGAATTGTATATGCTCTACTCTCTTTTCCCAAATCATGATGAGCTGGAGAGCTGGTTGTACTGCAATGAGAAGGATACTTCTCTCCAAAGTGGAAGAATGAAGTTTAGGTGGCTGATTTCCCAAGGTACATACAGCAACATGGGCCCTCAGAAAAGCCCGCCACCACAGAAGCTGACTGGTCTCACCTGAGCTGCTGTAGTCTGAGTCTCCATTTACACCTTCCAGAAAAGGGACTCGAGAAAGAGCTGGTTTCCCACGGCTTCGTTTTGGAGGAGTCAGACCACTGTGTAGACAAGAGCAAAGACAGCAAGCAAAACCATGACAAAGCAACAATTAAGGTGTTTCATGCTTCTGACAGGTGAGTCCACATTCATTCCTTAATGTATTCCAATCTTCTACACAGAAACACACTGAACTACAAGAAAATTGCTGGAGGGTTGACATGCCTAAAATCCATGAGAATCCAAAACAAGAAGCTGTGGACCTGGAAGGGACCTCAAGAAATAATTCTGTTCATTCCTCAGTCTCTAGGCAAGACACACACACAAAACCTTTCCCAACAAATGAAAAGGTGATGATTCCACGGCCTCCTCTAGTTTCCCATTCTAGAGTCTCATTGTTCTTGCTGAGTAACTAGAACTGTTGCTGTTCAAGTTATTTTCTGTTTAACAGTGGGTGAAAATAAAAGTATAGGTGAGTTTTCAGATTTCAAAAAGAAATTGAAGATATTCTGCTTTAATAAGACTGGCTTTTTTAAAGCTAAAAAGCAGGTCAACAAAATACTTGCAGACGAAAATATAGATTTCTTGGGGAAATGCTAAATAAAATTCCAATTTATCCAGAACGGCTGGGTAAAACTCAACTAAGAGGCAATGTGGAATGATGAAAAGAACACTGGCTTTGAGTCAAGAGACGAGTTGAGGGTTCAAATTCCATCCCCACCACTTTCCTTTAGTTATATGACTCGAGCAAATCATTTCCCATTTTTAGGCCAATTGTCTGATCCATAAAAATGAGAGGTTTGGTCTACCTAATTCCCAAGATTTCTTCCAACTCCTGACATTAATTGGTCTATAATTCTAAGTATGATATTTAAGAAATAACATAAAGTAAATATATTGTGGATAAGTGGTGCAGTAGATATCCTGAGGGATCTGGAGTCAGGAAGCCCTGAGTTCAAGTTTTGGCCTAGACCCTTACTAGTTGTGGGACCCTGGGCAAATCACTTGATCTCTGTCTACCTCAATTTCTACCTCAATCTGTCACATGAGGATAATAACAGCACCTACCTTCCCAGGGTTACTGTGTAGATCAAATGAGGTAATACTTGTAAAGCACTTTGCAAATCTTTAAGTGCTATATAAATGCTAACTGTTATTAGCTGAATGAATCAGATTCCTTTAAGGACCAGGATTCATTGTTTACGCTAAAATTAAGGTCATTTAGATTCACGTGCCAAAAAACTTCTGTCTCACAATCAGACCGCTTCCCTACGATCACCTTGCAAATGGGACCAGGTGAGGTAACATGACAGCTCACTAAAAAGCCATCTGGAAAGACACATAAAACATCCATTCTAACCCTCTCCTGTCACTTTCACATCCTTCATTATCAGGAGAGGATAACTTAGACATTGTGATAGATCTGTGATCTCACTGATATGGATATTCCCTCCATCAACAAAGATCACAACCCATCCCTGCTGACCTATCCTGTTATTTTAGGCCACATTCTCCAGCTGTCCACAGAGAGTCCACTCATCAAACCTAGCGCCTTGCTCTACATCTCTGACATTATGGGGATACCAACTGAGCACATCAATTATTGATCAGTTCTCTTTCAATGGTATCCTTTAGGCCACCCCGCTTGCACATCTCTTCATTGGTAATGGGGTGCACCCACACCTTTTAGGATGGTCACCTTGTGCTTCAATTTGGATTCTTCAATTTGTAGTACACAGACACACCTAATCCTTGAAGGAATATTGGGATTAAAAAGATGGGCCTTGGTTTCAGGGAGAACCTTAAGAGGCATTAAAAACTTTGCATCTTCTTCAACTCTGGACCCAACTCATTTTCCAAAATACAGCATCTATCCAACACATATACTCTCACACACATGTATTTTATATATACAAACGTATTTAACAAATATTTTTACATCTATATAAAATATACACAATCACTTCTTAGATTTTTGGTCAAGATTTCAAACATTTATCACAATAAAGAAATAACCATTCTTTTAAGTTTCACATTTCTTACATCCTCTAACCAAGGAAAATATATTAAATAGATTTTCAGAATGAAGAAAGAGAACATGAGCTGGATCCAACCATTTCACACAGCAACCCAGTATTGCAGAATTTCTGGGAACAGTGTAGTTCCCCTAGGAGTACATATTTTGTATGGAAAGAAGACTTCTTTGTATTTCTTTAACTCTAGGTTCCTCAGTAAGTAGTTTTTCCTGTGTAACCTACTTTTGTGGCTTTCCTTCAAGGCATGGAAGAGCACACTGTGCTACCAAGCAAGGCAGGGAAAAAAAAAAAAAAACAACACCTTGTGTTTCAACAAGTGTGCATTCTTCAGCCTGTTGCTTTTCCTTTTCTTCAATAGAGTTTGCCAGGGAGAGAAGGCCAAAAAGAAGGAACATGACAGGCCCCAAATTTTCACTGTGTCTGAGAATGCTACTAATGTGAAGAAATGAAAGACTGAGTTGCAAACTCTGAGGGAGGAAGAACAATGAAAACCTTACAGCAGCACTTCCAAGAATCAAGCTACTGCTAATGCAGATAAATGGAAAAAATCATTCTCTACATGGAAAGGTGAGAATAATCAATTGACAAATAAGCCCGAAGGTCAATGCAATTTAAGAAATATGTAGAAAAAGAAGAGCATACATCTCAGCAACAGCCTATAGGCAGTGGAATCTGAATGGCAAGAGAAGAGAAAGGTTAAAAACCAACAAGGTAAAGTCACTTCAGCCACAACTACTGACTATCCTATCACCAACAGGCAGACAAAGACAAAGAACCCTGGGAGTACAAGCATCTCCACAGACCACTGGTCCTGCTCTCATCCCAGCTGAACCTTACAGCCATCATCAGGGAAGGCAACTCCTGTGGAGAAGGCACCAGCCATTCCCACCAAGAGTCAACCAACTGCCACACAAAGGGCGGGTACATGAGCCTAGCTAAAATAGCAAGGCACCCTGGGAGAGATATGGAAGGCAGGAAAGGCCAAGCAGGTCAATTCACCATCTCCCCTCAAACCCTAATGGAGTTAGTCCAGGACCCTGAACCCAAGAACCTTGGGAATAGCAATGCTGTTTGGGCACTAATGACCCAGTGCCCAAAGTCATCAGTCCTAGGAAGAAACTCCTTTGGAGATATAGTCTGGCAACTGCTCTTAAAGGTGCTAGAGTTACACGTACTGAAGATCCAAAAAGAAAGTTCTTGTCACCAAAGTCTTTAGCACCATCAAATGGTTCAACATCAACAACTGATGATTTTTATAACAAAATGACATTAAAGAAGAGACAACACCATCTGTTTTGCTGCTACACCCTAAGGACTATAGGACTTTTCCAACTGACTTGCAGCTGAAACCTCCATGTCTTTTTTCCCCACTAGAATGTGAGCTCCCGGAAAGCAGGTATTGTATTAATTTTCTATTTGTGTCCCCAGTGCTAAACAGTACTTTGCATATAGTAAGTAATAAATGCCTCATTCATTCATTAGAATGTGACTGTCACTGAGAGAGTCCTGATGAAGGAGGCTTAAAATCAAAACTATAAAGTGAAGTCTTTTAGAACAGATGCTGAAGAAAATAAACAGACATCCCAGAACTTTTGGGAGGTCTTTGATTGGAAGATGAGTTGCATGATGTTCATCAAGAACTCTCTAAACTGAGAAACTGAAAACAATTATGATCTAGGTTCTTGGTATTTGGTATTGTTAACCCATTTGTTACAAAATAGGAAAGGGAAGCACAACTCATCTGCATTGTCTTTGCAAAAAGAGGCTCAAAGTTTGTTGTGTTTTCAAACCAGTTGTACTGCTCATTAAGTTCTATCCAGAATAAAAAATCGTTTCTTATATCTTGTGGACAGGTGGAATTATCCTGCAATGGGAATCAAGAACTAGGTCTACCTCACAGTATATGCAATTAGTCAGTACAAGGACATTTGTCTTTAAGGGCTATTACAAACATAGAAACAAAAAGTAATTTCTAATCCAACTACTAATATTCTAAGCAATTTGTTATTTCATTTCGTTAAGTGAAACTGAGATTAGGATTCCTAATCCCATTTAACAAAAGTCAGAGGCAGTTTTCTGATTGAGCTAGTCCATTAAGTATCTGTACATATAAAACACAATTTTTAAATTTTTGTGAAATATACACACATGAAGCCCTCCCATACTAATAAAACAGCTCTACGAGTTGTCCCTCCAAGTATAACCTAGGCTGGACAATAGATATTCTTCAATCACTTGGTTGCTCCAGCACGGATAGTGAAGACAAACTTTTATAGTGGTTACAGATCCCATTGATGATGCTCTACGAGGTTCTAGGACTTGACACCGTCTGTAGTCCATCATCCACAAAAAGAGCATCTAGCAGACCTCTCCATCTTTAGGGAATCCCTCTTTTACTTGGATTCTTCAGGGGACATCCTTCACAAGGGTAGCAAACAATTTTATTGAGTAGACCTCTCCCTGTTTCATGTGTCTCTTGTTATAATCAGACGGTCACCAAAGCTGATATATCTTTCAAAGAATATTGTTGAATTTTCAGATATGCATTTTAAGAGAAGAATTTTTTAGGCAGAATTTTGTTGTATCAAATTAAATGTTTCACTGTCAAACCCAATGAGATCTTGTATTCTTTCCACCTATGTCAACTGTATGATTGCTATAGACTATCATTTGTGAAAGTCTCCTTATTCCTTTCTCAAAGATGACCTTGGTGTGTGTGTGTTTGTGTGTATGTGTGTAGATTTTTCATAAAAATATTTACAATAAGAAATACAGGAAATGGGACAGAAATCCACCCGGCCCTACAGGTAAATTAGCAGACATGGGGAAGGGGTATTTAGAATGCATGCCATCTTGGGGTGGGGGGAGGGGTGAGATTGGGTGAAAATCTGGAACTCAAAATCTTGTGGAAGTAAATGTCGAAAACAAAAATAAATAAATAAATAAGTGTTTGAAAAGATAAATAAATAAAAATATTTACAAAGATGAGAAAATAGATTGGTATTCATTAATATTTTCTTGGTCAAACCTTGATTCCACAGCACCCATGATGAAATATGTTATCTAACTCTTGACAGACAGATAATGACCTCATGGTACAGATTGAGATATATATATTTCTGGATATGGGCAATACAGAAATTTGTTTTGCTCAATTATGCATACAGGATAAGAGTTTCATATTTTTTTTTCAAATGAAGAAGAGATGTGGAGAGAAAAGATTTTTGTTAATTGAAAAAATTAAAATTCAATTTTTAAAATATTTTCCTAGTGACATTACTTTGACAACAGTAAAGTCCAATTTTTTTCTCCCAAAGCTTTGGTGCTCTCCTCTCTTTCAGACACGGTGAAAATTCAACTCCTCAAAATTTTATCACCTCCAGAAAAGACCTCCCCTGAATATACTTACTCTAGTACATCGTTCTTTCTATCTTTGTTTTTTTAGTGTCATTTCTACTTCTTCATGCAGCACATGAAGGCTGTAATGTTGAGGCCAAATGTGGCAGTTCTACTGTTACTGATGGAGAAAAGAGTTTAAAATATTTCCAGAGCTTTCCCATTTTTCATTTGTTTGTTGTCCTTCCAGTTTCATCCTTAAATACCCTTGTAGTGATCATAATTAGTTTGGTCTCTTTGTTACCAAACTTTTTGAAAAGTTGTTTTCCCTCTACTAATTCTTCCTCATAAAGAGGTGATATTATTAATAAATATCTACTGTCTTCCCTCCTTTATTAAATTTTTCAAATGGGTTTATAAATTGCTGCTATCCTTGGCTGCCATCTCTCTCCATTTAGCAAGGAGGATCAAGTGTTTGCTGGCTGAAATAATTTATAAGGCTGTTTTGGGTCTCCAGTGTGTCAATTTACTTGCACAGTTAAACTTCTTTAGGAAATAATAATATGTGAATGTTTATTCATTTATCCATTTCCCATTTCTTGGTGTCAGTTTAAGTAGGTCAGGTTAGATTTGTCTCAATTGCATGCCATATTTTCTTATTTTTTTATTATTTCTTTTAGTTTGGTACCAGTTTTGATCTTCACTCTGACAAGCTGGTGGAGTAATTACAGAGATAACAGATTCAGAACATGGAGATTCCACATCGGCAATCAGATGTTTAACTCATCTTTTCATTTTTTGTGGTTAGTTGGTATATACCATGTCCAGAGCCTTCCACTTCTCTCTCTTCATGGACATGAGCTTCTGCCAACAAATCTTTGGACTCTTTGTTTTATTCTTGAGCCATTTTTTTCCAATATATTTTTCACCATGCTGCTCCTACCCACCTTTGCACTGACATCACAGAGTATTCATATATAGGGTGTGTTTAAAGTCTTAGTGCAATTTTAAGCTACAAAAGTTTAAAAACTTTGGGAATATCCTGTTTGTGTTGATTTAATTTGGCTAGTTTACCTGAGCTACAATTAGTTACATGGCGACCTTTTGCAAATGCTTTTCGTGGAAAATGCAATCAGATGGCCAAATATTCTCAGCTCCTGTAGCTCTTACACACACAATAAAACCAACTTTCCTATAATTGCTTTATTTGCCTCTCCAAGAAGAGCCTATGAGCTATCCTCCTTTACGGCAGGGACTGTGGGCTTTTTGTATTTCTCCACAATCTGGTATGATGCCTAGCACATAGCAGATACTTAAGAAATACTTGTGGATTGAGCTTTACATTTAGCTAGTAACTTCTTTTTTGCCTTTGAGTTTCATTGAAGCTGGAATGGCAATCTTGATAATTCAGTTCTTCCAGGAGTTACTTTGTTCCACTTTGTGGTCCTTAGATAAGTTTTGCAATTAGAATACAAATTATTAACATTTACAGATAATCTAAAATTTATGATATTTAGGATCCTCTGCCTCTTTTATGCCACTTTGCCACTATCACTACAGAAAGCAGAATAGGACCCCTAAGGATGAGGGTCATTTTGTGTTCTTTTGTTTTTTTGTTGCTGTGGTCAAAGAATTCATCATCAAGTGGTCAGATCATCAAGGGATGATGATCCTCTTGCTCTTTAGCCAGTCTGGTCAGAGAACTGTAGAATCATAGTTTTAAAACTAGTCAAAGTCTCTAATTTTAAAGGAAATTGTGGCACAGAGAGGGGAAGTAACTTGCCCAAAGTCACACAGGCAATAAATGAAACAACTGGGACTGTAAAATCTCTCATCCTAGAAACCTCCATGGGGATTAACAATCAACTGTCCAGTAGGGTTTAAAAATCAGCCTGCCAATTCAATTCACTTGGCCACACCAGAAGAACAAATTTCTTTGCAAAGTCTAGGTTTCTGTTACTTTAAGGTGCATTCAAAGGCTTTCTTTTTATGTACTGTTGTTGTTCAGTCATTTTTCATTCGTGTCCAACTTTTCGTGACCCCATTTGGGATTTTCTTGGCAAAGATACTAGAATAGCTTGTCATTTCCTTCTCCAGATTTTACAGATGAAGAAACTGAGGCAAACAGGATGAAGTGACTTGCCCAGAGTCACAGAGTTAGTAAGTGTCTGAGGCCAGATTTGAACTCAAAAAAAGAGGAGTGTTCCTGACTCCAGGCCCAGCACTCTACCCACTGCACCATCTAGCTGCCCTTTTATGTACTACAGCTAGCCAAAAAATTACAGAAGTTTTTTAATTTCTCTAAACTCTGAAATTCCACTGTGGAAGGAAGCCCAGTATCCAATGCAATTATTAGTACCAGTGGGAACCCAGGTTCAAAACAATGAAGGTGGCTTCTTCCTTAATACCTCAAAGACAAGTCAGGATCACAGGACTTTGTTATCTATGTACCATTCTGTAACCAAAGGGAGAAATGCAGAGATCAATTTCTGGGAGCTTCTTTTTCCTTCCTGATCTTATATTCTCCCCTGCTCCCTTTTCTCCCTGTGCTTTGTTCAGCACTGGTTACACAGTAGATGTTCAATAAAGACCTAGAGGATCACAGAGCTAGAAAATACTTTGAAGACCTTAATGACCAGTGTCAGAGCTCTTGCCATCAAGGAAAATGTAGTATTATTTCTGCCTATTCACTGAGCACTGGATTTAGAACTAGAAGGTCTGGGTCCAACTGGGTCCAGCTCTGAAGTTGGCTCTTTATTACCTGTGTAAACCTGGAAAAAATCATTTTACTTCTCTAGGTCCCAGAACTACGTAATATCTAAGGTTCCTTCAAGTTTAGTGGAAAAACAGAGAAGCTTGAGACCTTTGAAAGACATTTCAAAAGTCCTCATAAGCACCCTTTCTAACAATAAAATCACTCACCCTTCAAAGACCATCACCCTTCTGTCAACAGCTGGGGAAAGAGTTTGAAGTGTAAAAAGAAGGAAGAAGTCACCTTCCAGAGCATCCAGCTTTCTGTTTTGAGTATGTGTCTCCCATTTGAGCCCTTGACTGAAATGTTATTTTGTCCACTTGGCTCTCGGTCAGTTGTTACTACCATACTTTTCTACTTTCCCTCCCCAGAAGAGTGGCCTGAAGCCACAGGGACCAAGATCTTTGGGACCATGGAAACACCCCATGAAGCCCTAAAAACAAGAGCTAAGGAGAAAAGAGAGCAAAAACAAAAAATAAAAAAATGAGAACCACAATGGAAAATCAACCTGTTATTGCACAGAGGCTGAAGGGAAGGGGCAAGAGACAAAAAGATGAGGATTTAGGGATTAAAGTCCTTACCTGCAAGTTTCAAATGCCAGGCCACCACCAAGACCAGAACTACATTCTGAATCAGACCCACTTTCTGTGTGCTTCCCAAAGCCGTTGGTGACTCCTGCCAAGGACGGACACACACACACATACACACACAAACACACAGTGAGCTATAGTGCATAAATTAAAATTCCCAACACACACCACTAGTTCAGGGCATAGTGGAGGGAGATGGTAGCAGCTATTCAAGTGAGCTTAGTGACCAGGGCTGCACTATGTCGGTGACTGAATATATCTTGGCAAGGTGAGGATTTTTTTTTTTAAAGGCTGATGGTTTTGACCAGCAAACAAGAATTCTCATTTCCTCCCCGAAACATTTACCCTCCTACATTTCACTTTAAAGAGAACACGGTCTATATAGGCCATCATTTGAATGCAAAGGCAAAAACTGAAGCTTTCCCACCCTCATAATTCTCACATGAGTCCAAGCTCTGCTTCTCATTTGAAGCCTAGGTGACCATCAGAGAGCTTTCTCTGCCTTTCTGGGAGCCCACCCTCCTTGCTGTCCCAGATAAACATTCACACCCCTTACACAACACACTGCTGGAAACAGCCAATCTCATTCTCTTGGGAGAGGGACAGTTAGGAGTTAGGAAGAAGCTAGGAAAAGAACAGCCCTGAAATACCCAGCAAAGTTCGAAAGACACAGAAGATAGGTGATCCAAAAAAAAAAACTAAACGTCCCATACTACAATTATAATGTACCTATTCTGTGCTGAAAGTCAGAATTTCTGAGTTTTAATCTCAGTTCTGGCAACCCATATATGATAGTTAAGTCTTTTTCCTCTCTTCTCTCAATCTTGGTTCCCCCATTTATGAAACAGAAAGAATCCTTATCTTGTAGGGACCAGATTAAGTATGAATGAGAAGAGGTCTATTTATAGCAGGGAGCTCTTTTGGAGGAATTGAAATTTTTATCAGGGCATACCAGATCACGAAAATGATCTTCATCTCTGTGGTTCAACTGTCTGACAACAGAGCCCCAGGTAATTTCAGTGACAGTGCAATGAATAGGCATCCCCACTTAAGTTCTGTCAGACACACATCATCCATATCTCAAATTGTGGGTAAAACACATGGCCAAAAGACTTAGGCTGTTATTTTGTGTCTGGCCATACCTGCGTCATCTTAGCAAAGATAACTATGCTTCTGTGTCCTATATGCTGAATAGGAGTAACACTGATAGTGCCCACTTCTTAAGGTTGCAGTGAGAATCAAGTAGGTGTAATTCAAATATAAAGCATTATTATTCTTATTACTACTACTTACTGGCATATATCAGGCAATGAAATGAATAGATTCTAAAAATTGCTTATCACCCATATACACCCAGAGTCTCTCAGAATGGACATTAAATTTAATAGCTAATCCCCTAAAGCAGGATCCTTTAGCTGAGGGTTGGTCTCAATGGTTAACAAATTCTACAGAGACTATGCATACATACAATTCTGGATAAAGAAATGATAGATACAGTTGGAAGAGAAGGAAAACAGGTGAAGGATATACCATCTGGTTGATGGGGAAATGGGGGTGAGGGGTGGGGAAGGGGGCCCAAACCAAAGGATTTAAGAACATTTTCCACCCCTCCTCCCACCAATACTTCACCCTAACAATCCAAGACTTTCCCCAAATACCATCAAGCCTAAGCTCCTCAAACTGGATTTCAAGGTTTTCCTGGCTTTGAATCTCAGACTCAAGGCTTGTTCTCTTTCAGTTTCAAGGTCTTTTGTTGATAAATTGAGGATGATAACATTTGTACTACCCTACCTCAAGGGGGAGTGAGGAAAACGCTAGAACCTGAAAGTCCATTATATGCCCTTAGGCTAAAAAGGGAGCTAGATGTTGAGACAGAGTGTGGCTAATTAAATCTCCAGAGAAAACTCCCTCCCCAATAGCAAGGAAAGAGGAAAGACCAAGAAAGCTCTGCTCTTATCCAAAAGGATAGGGGAGGGACAGAAAAGATTAAAAACATGCCAATCAACTCTATTCTCCAAGCAACCCTCCCCCACCTCCATACAAACGAGAGTAAACATCCCTATTCAGGATCCATCCTATTAGTCCACTCTTGCTAAAACTATTCCCCAGTAGCCTACATTCCACTCAGCCCTGATTTCATCACTGCCTTCAGCACACAACCATGCTCACTCTCACCCTCAGAAGCCTAGAAAGCACTGTACCCAGGCAAACTCTACCCATCTTTGGAGGCCCAGTTCAAGTCTCACCACCTCAACCAAGTATTCCCTAACTACTCCATGCCATCTGCCTCCTTTCACCAAGTGCATCTGAACACCTCATTCGGCACATAATCGTACACTGCCTTATACCATCATTTTAATGTTCACACATCTTGGCTACCAACAAGCTGTTAGATTTGAGCTCCTATATTGTAAACATGTACTCTGTAGCCCCACTGTGCCTAGGTCAGACTCGACAGAGATTAGGAAACGAACAAGTAACTGCTGGTTGACTGACTGAATCTCTTGGTTACTAGTAGCATGGAAAACCAGTTTGGGTTGCCTGACCCTCAAACAACTAACTGGCTTCCACAGGGCTTATTAAGGAGGTAAGTGACTACTGGAGCATTCTGAGCCTGCCCACAAGGATAGTACAACTGGCCAGCTGACAAGCAGAAGCAGACATTAAGACACTCCTTATTCCCTGAAGCACAAGCAGCAGCACGCGGAGCCACAGGTTAGGTCACCTGTCTCTTCCACCTGCTGAGGGGATTTCTCCCCATCACTCTCGCTGCAACTCCTGCTCTGTGGTCGCTTCTGAGCTTGCCTCTCGCCTTCAGGGCTGGCCGGGGAAGCAGGCAGGTCCATCAGATTGTGGTCCTCTCCATTCTCAAGGGCCCCATCAGAGCTTCTTTGAAGTTTAACCCCATTCTTGGCCTTTTTGAAAAGGACAGAGGTACGGCGGCCCACACCACTAAGGGGGGGCATAGTGGACATCTCAAGGGCTGGAAGGGACAGTCTGTTAAGGCCATTGTCACTCAGCAGGTGCTGGAAGGGCTGGCTCCCTCGTTGTGATGGGACCTTGTCCAAGATCTCATCCTCCACCTTCCCGTATTTTGAAAGCCTTATTGGGATTTTGCTCTCACTGATAGGTTTCAAAGTTGGAGGGTCCTGGAGGGAATCCAGATCAGAGATGGAAGGTGCTGGCCCTGTAGGCTCCAGAGTTGGGGGATGAGGAGGCTTGGTGTCATCTGCTAGAAAGAAAAAGAATCTGCTTGAACATTTTAGAAAAAGTCACTCCCCCCCCAAAAAAAGAAAAAAACCCCTCAATTCATTAACCTAAAGGAATGAAAGCACACTATTTCCTAAGACTTATCAAGCCTCAGAAATCATCCTAAAATAGACTTAAAGGGAATAAGGAAGGTTTTAAGTTTATCAACTAAGCTGGTTGTAGTTCTGATATTACATAGCGTATTTCCTCTGATTTGATCCAAGTGCTTTCTTATCTGTGATTCCATCTTGCTTCACCCATGTGAGGGAAGGAGGAGGAGTGTTAAAGATCTTTGTTTTACAGATGCTGAAACACACTTATGTGACTCGTCCAGGATCACAAAGAAAGGCAGTGGAATCAAAACTGGAGCTTCTTGACTCCCAAGCCCAAAACCCTATCACTAAGCTTCAGGCTACCCTATCATTCTCTCTGCCACATCTCAGATCTAATGGGACCTTCTCCATAAGTTTGACCCCTGCCCATCTGATACAGCACCAGACCCCAAAGAAACTAAAGTTCATCATACCAATCCATCCAGCTTCTGAGTGACAAACACTCTCAAAACCCAACTTCAGACTGAATCCCCAGGTGTGCCAAGACACCTTTCCCAACTGGGAAAAAGAAATGGAAAGCAGCTCTATTCACTAAATACCTAAAGTCTCTAAACATAGTCTTCCTGGAAGCAACTTGAAAATTAGACTCTTCTTCAGGATAGGGCCTATACAGGGTTACATTTCAAAAGGAACTTGGAGACGGACAATCTAGCCCGGCCTCCTCATTTTACAGAGGAAGCAGCAGAAGTCCAAAGAAGGGAAATGACTTGTCCAGTCCAGAGCAGGTCAGTGGCATAAGCAGGACTACAATTCAGGTGTCCTGGCTTAGAAATCACAGGATTATAGGTTTAGAACTTCAAAGGATCATCTAATTCAACCTACATGTTTTACACATGAGAAAACTGAGGCCCAGAAAGAGACTTATCCAAGACCACACCAAGTTCTAAGCAGTAGAGGTGAGATTGGAGTGCATTCCTGACACTGAATCCAGCATGCTTCCTGCCCTGGCCTCTCTGCCCTGTGCTGAGCTTCCTCACAAGCCTCTTACCTCAACATCAAAACCTGTTCTCAGATCTTCTACACACGCTAAGGTAACTTCACAACAGCTTCAGGTGTTACGCTTCCAGGGGTCCTGGCAATTCAACTGCTGCCAGAGTCTCAAGACACAAAAATGAAGCTCTAATGGTGGGCTCACAGGCATCCACCCAAAAGCTGGGAAACAGTAGGGAGTTGTCTGGCCCTTCCCTGCCAGAAACCATAACAACACTTGGCCCTGCCTGTGCACACCTCTCACCTTTCTCCCCATCCTCCTCTTCCTCTCCATGCAGGGCCTTCTCCACCACGTCCACCTCCTCCCGGGGCCCTGGTGGCAACTCCCCATTGGGCACCATCTTGTTTGGCTGCTGCTGTGCCAGCTTTTGCCGGAGGGTGTTGATCTCCCGCCGCAGCAGGCGAACACGGCGGGTCCGAGCCCCACTGGATCGCATCGTGCTCACCAGGTCCAGCTTCTCCAGAAGCTCCTTCAGCTGCACCTCCAGGGATAGGTGAGCCCGGTTCTCTGGGAGGAGGATGTTGTCCACTGCCAGGGAGAAGGGAGGACAGAGGGGGCTGAAGGACCAGCACGGCCGAGGGCAAGGGGAAGGAGCTGAGTCCTCTGGATGAGATACACTCTCCTGAAATGCCTGGGACCGGAGCTTCTAGCAGAGTCATTGTAGAGCCTCAGCCCTGGCAATACCACTGCACAGAGGGGAGCCAATTGGGCAAGATCAGAATGTGGGAAGCATCTGCAGGAAGCAGCTCACAGTCAAGAATAGGCTTCTTGGAAGGGGTCAGAGGCAGAAATTCCCTTGCCTGGGTGACTGTCTGGCTGCTACAGCAGAGCAGAAAGCCCCGAGGATCAATGCTCTGAGCTCAGGTGATTCAGTGTTTCTGTTACCAACCTACTCACCCCCAAAAAGACAACAGACACCAGCATGCAAGCCCCGTACACCAACCACACAGGGGAGGGGAAGCCCTAGGGGAGGCTCCAGCTCCCTAAGCCAGTTTTCCAAAGTGCTCCTTCTGTCCCTGTACCTTTTGAAACGAGCTAAGTGCACTGATCTTTCGGTCTTGAAGAGGTTCCTGTTCTGCAAAGGGCAAGCCCTAGCCAGGGCCCTCCCCACCCTGAAACCAAGACACACAGTGTACATAACCAGTCCTGTTTCCCCACACATGCCCCATCATCCGACTGGCTTTTACTGTCCCAAAGAATTTTCTCTGGCCCTCTAGCTCTGCCAGCGGTAGCGCAGCCCAGTCCAGCCCAAATGCTTAGCCACTAGCTTCCCCGCCACCCCAAGCTTCTCACCGTCCTCCCAGGAGAAGCGATAAAAGTCCTCCATTTTGGGTGACTCAGGTAGGTGGGTTCCCACCTCATGGTCATAGCCGATGTTCTCTGCCTGCCGCCGGGCGTGCCGTAGGACAGCCCCTCCCAGGTCCCTCAAGCGGACAGCTGCGCGGTGGAAAATTGTGTCTTTAGCATTGTACTTCATACAGTTGGTAACTATAAGGTTAAAGTCCTCCTCAAATTCCTCCAAGGTGTGGTACAGATGGGACTCCAGCTTCAGTCTCATGGTGGAAAAATCCATTGGCTTGGATATGAATTCCAGGTAATCTGGAACCTAAACATATAAAACCTGTACAATTACAAAAACCATTTACTAGCCAAACAGAGTGCACCCTTCACCGGCACTCTTAGCTGCCCCTTCCACTTGGCCCTGCTAAGCTTACTGGTAGCTCCTTGCTCCTACCCTTCTAAACCTTGCCCTTACCCCCCCCCCCCCCCCCCCCACCTCAGGGCCCCCAACATTCAATCCATCCCACTCTCAGCTATCTACTCTGTGTGGCCATTCACCACCCTCCTGGAAAAGGGTACTGGCCCCCTTCCCCACCTAAACCTATCTCCAAGACCCCTTAAATACTATATGGCCCCTGGTCTGGAAGCTCTCTTAAGTAGGGTTCTGTCCCAGCAGTGACACTACCAGATAGGTTGACGGGGCAGGGTGGTGGTGGTGGCAAGGAAAAAACTTGCCTCACTCAGGTTGACAGGTTCAGCAAAGATTTGGGCAGGATCTTTCTCCTGTAGAAGATCCAGAGTAGTGCGCAACAAGACGTTAAAAGGAGTCAGCTCCAACTCCATTGTGGCCTGTTGAACCTTGACCTAAGTAGTTCAGAGGAAAGGGGAAAGGTGATGAACAGGAATCTGCATGCCCTCTCCTCCCTACCCCCACCCACACACTCCACCACAAACACTTATTCTTGTTAAGATGGCTATGCCACTAACTGTGAAAGGGCTGGCAGGGCACAGCACAGCTTGGAAATGAAACCTTCTTGTCCTTTTGCCCATGCCAATTGAGGGCTGCTTCCCAGCTCACCACTTCTTTTTTTTTCTTTTTCTTTTTCTTTCTATTAATTTATTTTGATTTATCAACAATCACTTCCATAAGCTCTTGAGTTTTAAATTTTTCTCCCCCTTCCTCCCCAAGATGGTGTGCAATCTGATACAGGCTATACGTATACATTCCTACTAAACATATTTTCACATTAGTCATGTTATAAGGAAGAATTAAAACCAATAGGAGGAACCACTAGAAAGAGGAAACAAAACACAACAGAAAGAAAAAAAATAGCAAATAGTATGCTTCGATCTGCATTTAAACTCCATAGTTCTTTCTTTGGATGTGGATAGCATTTTCCATCATGGATCTTTCGGAATTTTCTTAGATCCTTGCATTGCTGAGAAGGGCTAAGTCTATCAAAGTTAGTCATCACACAATGTGGCTATTACTGTGTACAATATTCTCCTGGTTCTGCTCACTTCACTCAGCATCAGTCCATACAAGTCTCTCTACAAGTGCTCTCCAAAATGGTTGATCAGTTCACAACTCCACCAACAATGCATTAGTATTCCAATTTTCCCACATCTTCTCCAACATTTATCACTTTCCTATTTTGTCATTTTGGCCAATCTGATAGGTATGATGTGGTACCTCAGAGCTGTTTTGATTTGCATTTCTCTAATCAATAGTGATTTAGAGCATTTTTTCATATGACTATAGATGGCTTTAATTTCTTCATCTGAGAACTGCCTGTTCATATCCTTTGACCATTTATCAATTGGGGAACGACTTGTAATCTTATAAATTTGACTTAATTCTCTATATATTTTAGAAATGAGACCCTTATCAGAGACACTGATTGTAAAAATTCTTTCCCAGTTTTTTACTTTCCTTCTAATCTTGGTTGCATTGGCTTTGTTTGTGCAAAAACTTTTCAATTTAATGTAATCAAAATAATCCATTTTGCATTTCATAATGTTCTCTATCTCCTGTTTGGTCATGAATTCTTCTGTTCTCCATAGATCTGATAGGTGAACTATTCTTTGCTCTCCCAGTCTGCTTATAGTATCAGCCTTTATATCTAAATCATGAACCCATTTTGACTTTATTTTGGTATATGGTGTGAGATTTTGGTCTATGCCTAGTTTCTACCATACTCTTTTCCAGTTTTCCCAGCAGTTTTTGTCAAATAGTGAGTTCTTATCCCAGAAGTTGAGGTCTTTGGATTTATCAGATAGTAGATTACTACAGTCAGTCATTGACTACTATGTCTTACATACCCAACCTATCCCACTGGTCCACTCTGCTCACCACTTCTTAAGCAGAGGTGGTGAGCAATGAGGACAGATGGCTGAGAGTATGCACCAGTAGCCTCATGAAGGATTAGCATGGCTAGTGCAGACCCAATGGTGAAAGTACCAAGTTGTTCCTACTGGCTCCAGAAACTGAGCCTAGGCTGTGCTGCCTAGTCTAAGAGGTACACACTTGGTGCTGCAGCTCTCAGTCATGGCCAGAGGCCCCCCTGAGAGAGGTCTGGCTGCCCCTCTGCACCCTGCTGAGCCCCTGTGGCTGTTAGGCTGGTCTAAACACAGCCTCAAAGAAAGAGATGAGAGTGTTGTGTCCTCTCTGCTTCTATGGCTCAGCAGGGCTACTTACACTGTTTCTATAACCAAAGAGACCAGCTTTGGACCGTCAGTTTTTGTCCAGATGATTAGAGAACACCTAAAGCACCCTAGGGGCTACAGAATAGGATAAGACAGTTCCCTACCATCAAGGAGCTCTGGATCTCACTGGGCAGTTGAGATATGTACAAGGAGCATTAAGTAACAATGAAATGCCAAATAAATAACATATAGATAGTAAGTGATACAAAAATCTGGATGGACCACAGATCCCAGATTGGGGGGGACTAGCTTGGAGCACCTGTGGGTCCAAGGTCTATGCTTAGGGGCCCAAATAAACCCAAAGATGCACTACCCCCAGTGTACGCACAGAGCAAGAATGTTATTCACACCACAATCCTGCAACCTCTAGAGCAGGAAGGAAAGACCAACACACAAACCACCTAAGTGTAAAACCAGGCACCTCAGGAAGTAGTGGGCTCCCCGTCCTTCACTATCTTCCAGCCAGGGCTGGACAGTCACTTGCTGGATGGTCACAGAGTGGATTCTGACAACACTCAATGACCTTTCAGGATTCAGTGATTCTCTGTTCTTGGCTTCCCCTATACCGACTTTTGGCCAAGAATCTTAGAGGAAGGAAGCAGTTTCCCCTTACCTGCTCCCTCTTGAGCTTCTCTCTCTTTCGGATCAGCTCAATCAACAGCCGTGCCCGCTCCAGGTCATGGCGAAGCTTCTGCCAGTACTTAAGCTCTTCCTTTACAGCACTGGTTTTCTCGTCCTGTTCCTTCTAGGAAGCAAAGGGAGGAGCTGGGGGGGACGCGGGAAACATGCACTTTCTGTAGACATCAACCTCCTCCCTAGGCCTTGGCAAAAAAAAAATTCCCTTCTCCCTTCCTTCCCATCCTCTATATTTGGCTACAGTCAATGTCAAAATCTTCAATTCCAGCCTAACGAGGCTACCAAATGGAAAGTCACCTGGTGCCTAAAGGCACCTCAGTGCTTCCACTGTGGTTATGAATTTTTTACCACCACACAACAGCCAACTATGAAGAGACATACAGGAGATGAGACCATCAAAGGGAAGCTGTGTTATTAATGTGGGCAAGGGGGAGGGGAAGACTATTTCCCTAAGGGGTGATTAGACTAGGCCTTTTTCCTACAAATAGTTATTAAGTACCTTGGGAATTTTTTTTGGGGGGGGGGATAAGGGGCATAGGAGGCTATGAAAGAATTATCAGAAAAGGATGGGATACATCAAGGAAGGATTCCTAGACCCAATGAGTTAACTCTTCTAGAGTGACAATAGACATGAAATTGTAAAAGAAGAAATGACTAGAAGAGAGGTTTGCAATTAGGAACCAAGGACGAGGTTGAAAAGGGACAGGAATCAGATGATGGAAGACTTTGAATGTCAGGCTGAGGTATTTGTGTAGAGTAGTAGAAAAACCACTGAACTAAAGAGTCAGAAGACTTGATCATAGGATCATAGAGTTCATTATAACTCTAATCAAGTCATTTTTCTTCTCTGGGTCTTACAAGATGGTGTTGAGAATCCCTTCCAGCTCCAACATTCCAGAATATTCTGACATGCAAGTAGCCTTTCTAGATTCTGAGCAGGGGATGGTGAAAATGATTCCTAAATAAGTCCATGGCAGCTATGTTTAAGGTTCCCCTGAAGTAGCAAAGAACCTGAAATTAAAGACACCTCTAAGAAGCCACTATAGTAAAGATAATAAGGCCTTGGAATGGGATGGAGACTGAAAGAATGGAAATGAACAGACAAACCTAACATGTTATAGAGGAATCAATTAGACTCAGTCAATGAGTAGATATGGGGGACCACGCAGAGAAGAATAATGGGGAAAAAAAGCCAATCAGAAAGGCATTGGTGTGGGGGAAGAGTGCTGAAATAACAGGCATCAGTCAGGAGTTCAGATTCCAATTCTGACTCTTGCAGCCTATGTGATCTTAAGTAAATCACTTAATTTTTCTGGGTCTGAGTTTCCTGATCTGTAAAATAAGGAAATTCCCCTAGGTCATCTTCATGGGCCCTTATAACCCCAGATGTATCATCTGATGACCTACTATGAGAATTCAGTACAGTGAAGGGAGGCCGTGATGGGGGAGGGAAAGTTGAGATGAGGTGCTGAATCACTGGGGAAGGAGGACAATAATGAGGAATTCAATTTTCACAAAGTCTACAGGGATAAATAACAATGGAAAGAAATATCCTCTAGTAAACTGGAGATAATGGGACAAGAAAAGGAACAGAAGGTCAGAGCTGGGAAGGTGGCAGAATTGAGTCCTAAAAACATGATGGGAATGAGATTACTGCACCAAAGAGGATTAAGAGGAAGAAAGGAACCAGTGAATGCACAGTTAAAAGGAAGATTAATCAATAAAGAGAGTTGTCAAGGAGGTGAGAGAATCAGATCATGTTACAGAAGCTGAGGCAAGAGACAGCAACATAGTATCAAATAAAGCTTTAGTTCAAGAAGAGGACTAGATCATCCAAGAAGTGGGTCATCGTGATCTACAGAAAGCAGTTTCGGCAGTTTCAACAGGGTGGAAGAAAGAGGCTAGACTGAAAGGTCCTAAAGGACAGCTTAAAAGTAAAGGAGTTACAAATGAAATGGCCGTGAATGAAAACAGGCCAGCAACCAGAGGGGGCGGTAGAGTCGATGAAAGTTTCAGCTTAGGAGACAGACAGGCACATATAAAGGCTTAAGGTAGAGATTCTCAGACTCTTCTAGAACCCACACCCCTTCAGCTTTTCAGTAAACATTCCTCTACCTGCTACACAATATGAATGAAAAAAAAATTTAGTTTTCCATGCATGGTCACATGAAAATATAAAATAAAGTGACTAATTTTTCCTTTCCTGTGGTATATCAAAAATTGTGTAATCTCATTCATTGGCAATCAATTTGGAGTTTTAAAAATATTGCAATAGGATAAGTTATTTGCCAAATACTACCTGTACCCTTGCCTGAGGGTACACACATATCATTCAGGGCCTAGGGGACGGAATAAATAAAAAGAAAAAAACTATGACATTGAGAAGGATTGACCACAAGACTACATTCAAGTCCGTTTTATTTCTCCCCTCCCCCTAAAGTTTCCAAGCCCAACGTCCCACTCCTGTTTCTGATGCCTTATCTGGTCTACTGAGCTGTCAGTCCTGCCCTTAAAGCTTATCCCCCAAACCTGCTATGGCCCCTGGGGAGGTTGCTACCAGTTGGAAGTGGTATCTATATAGTTGCCTAAAGGGTAACAGTACAAACTGATCAGCCTCATAATTACTGGCCATGAGTCCCTGGGGCAAGAAGAGTCTACTCTTGAAGGCTGCCACACCTCAAGCAGTGTGGGACCAGCAACATATTGGCCCCCCCCAACATGTCCCTGGGTATTCTTCCATTCTTCCCCTCAGCCCCTCACCCACCTGCTCAGCATTTCTTTGGGACTGAAGGTGCGAGTGTAGGCGCCGGATGAGAGGAACACCATTCCTCGCCTGCCGTTTCAGCAGCCAGTAGTTATGCAGCCGCTGCATGAATTGGGTCTTCCTCTGCAGGGAGAGGCCACTACAGATCTTGTTCAACCTTGGGGAGAGTGGGGATGGGGAGCAGGGAGCAAGACAGGTCGGTGTTCAGAGTCAGAGGGGAGTCAGAATTCTGGCACCCAAGCCCCCATCCTGACCTTAGTCTCTTCTAGAGCTGGTGGAGCAGGGACAAGAAGAAGGCTATAGAGTTGCCAAACATTTCAGTCCAGAAAAAAACTTGAAATGATAATAGCAAAGTCAGGTATCCAAAGTTCAACATCTTGGATTTTTACTACCAGCCTTCAGCCTAACCCCTCCCAACGTTTCACACTGGAACCACAATGGAATCACTCTCATTTTTGTCAGCTATTTGATGCTTTGTCTAACAATTATGAGATGCTGAGCTATAAGAAAATATCAGCACTATTTCCTAATCTCTGTTGTTAATGGTACAAAAAGTAAGAACTCCTCACATCTATGTAACACTTTAGTTTAAGGAAGTATTTTTCTCAGAACAACCCTATGAGAAGGTTGTGCAAGTGTTCGCATCCCTAAGACAATAATGGATTAAAGAGATTATGTGATGTATGTATGTGTCAGAGTCAGGATTTGAACCCACGTCTCCCAATTCCAAGTTCAGCATTCTTTCTCCGATACTATGATGTCTCATAAGAAAGGAAAACTGGAAGTTCTATACCAGGGGTACTATCATTTGGGCCAAGTGTGACCCCCTTAGAGACATCCTAATTTTGGGGTTCTTATTGAAAACATTGGGGTCATGAGGATTTTGCCTAAATTTGACCCAGTGAAAATCATTGACATCTAAAAGTGTGACTAGAAAGCTCATTAAGGTCCTCCATTCTTCCACAAAGAAGAAGCTCAAGTCCCAGTACCCAGGTTCAAGCTAATAAAGCTCAGGGGAAGAATACTGACCTAGAGCGAGCCAGGCCTCCTAAAATCAAGAATAAGATGACCAGTTTTTACAAGCTGGCAACCGGGAAAAAACGGGGCATTTGTGTAGGTCTAAAAAAGTGCAAGGGGCTCTCTTTCATCCAGCCTTTTCCCCACTCTTATCATGGTACCAAAAAAAAAAAATGATATCTAGACCCCTTTCACTAATATTTAATAAATATTTCACTAATATTTAGACCACTCCAATCCTGCAAACTGCAGCAAGCTCTATTCTTAATCTCACTCTTTCTGAACCAGTTTGCTCACAAGATCCCAAAAGAATTCAGGGGTTGGGTGGAGGAAACTGTGTTCAAAGAAAAGACATAACATAACAACTCTGGAAATCTGAACTAAGGTCTCAGCCTGCTCATCCCAGTACTGATCCCAGCATGAAGCACATGTGGGCCCAAAAGGAATAAGACAGAGCAGAAGCCAAAACTCTGTTAGGATACAATATTAATCTTGGGTGAATCCCTTTCTCTCCAGCTATATCCCTTGGGCATGTGCTCCACTCCAGTGTATGTTACTGGCAAATTCCTTAAATGGCTTAATTCTTTCTTCTTCCCATCAACACATTCTCCCTACACCTTTCTATGAAGAAATATGATGTACTCAATAGACCAGTGGACTAGAACTAGAAGACCTAGATATCTGAGTGCTAGGCTGTCTCTGACACTAAATGAGTTGTGGTCTTGAGCAGGTCACTCCTGCCTAGAAGATTTCTAATACCCTTCTATGTTGTGACATTCTAGAAGTAGTCTATGAAAATATTCTTTCTTAAGGCTGACCTTCTCCAGGAAAACTTCCCTAACTCATCACCCTCTCTCCAAAACTGTATTTCTCCTTATCAGTCCAAGGACATGCCCATTACTGTTGACAGTTCTTCTCTGCCTAATTACTTAGTGCACATTAGACTATGTTTGACTTGATAGAACTGGGGGTGTGTGAGGTCAGATATCTGCATGACCAGAGGCCTATCCTTTTTTCAAGGACTTTTAAGTCTAAGGGAGGATATGTCTCTCCCTTTCTCTAACTCTTCAAGGTGACTGAATAAGGGTGCCCAGAGAATGGGTACTCGGTCTCCTCTCCTGCCTGGCTTGGTGGCTATGGCTCACCTGCAGGATGGGATCTGTGTTATAGTCACTAGGGGTGCTGTTGCAGGTGAATCCTTCACTGGGTCCTCTGACTCCTTCTTGATCTTCTGCTTCACTTTCATTTTGTTCTTCTTTAGGGAAGTCTTCAGGGCACTGCTTACTGGGACCTTGCTTTCTTCTTCTCCTCCTCCCTCCTTTGCCTCATCTTCTTCCCCACCTTCACCGGAGACCACAGGGAGAACGTCCTTCTTCACAGTGCCAGGTGGGGAGTGGGCTTCACAGTAGGCTGTCTTTCGAACTGTGAAAGTAGTACCATTTAGGCTGGTTTCTCTCATGGGCTCTATCTTCATAAACAACCCAGCCCGCTGGGCACATGTCACATGAAAGGCTGTGTAGCAATTCACCTTGTGGCATTGGATAGCAGCACCTAGGCCCTTCTGCTTACAAATGTAGCAGGTCAACTTCCATCGAGCTGGTGGGATATTGTCAATACCCTCAATAGGCTCCAGAAACACGGTATTAGCAAAACAGACCTCAGGGATCCAGATGGCACACACCACATGAGCCCAGTGCCCATCACTGGTCTGCTTGAAGGCCCCACCCTTGTTGGGGCAAAGAACACAGTCCACAGGACGGGAAGGGGACTGTAAGCAGCATCGGCAAAGCCACTGTCCCTCTGGAATGTAGGGGACCCCATAGCACTCCTGGTGCACAGCCAGGTTGCAAATGTCACAGAAGAGGATGACATTGCTGTTGTGACACTCATCATCCATGCAGACACAGCAGAAAGCATCTTCATCAATGAGGGTCTGCTGAGCCCCACTACTTCGGCTCTCTAAATAGGATTCCTTTTCTAGTCTATCTACCAGCAATTCAAATGTGTCAGCGGAGATGGTCCCATGGCCATCCACCACTCTCTTCTCATTCACCATGTCTAACCACGCCAGGTCCTCCTCATCCATGTCATATTCCACATCGGCATCCAAGTCCTCTGGTGGCTTCTCAATGTAGCGATAGTAAGCAGCAGGGAGGGGTGGTGCATCTGGCTGGCTGCATGAGTCAACCACTCGGAAGCTGGGCTGAGGCAGGTGGAAGGAGGTGCCTGGGGCATGCTTGGAACAGGACTCCTTTTTCTTTCCTTTTGAAGAGGTTTTCTTGGACTTGCCAGGAAACAGAGGCTGCTCACTGTTTTCTTTGTTGCTATTACATTCGGTGATGTCCTGAGCTGTCAGCTCATCCTCAGTGATGATTTTCAGAGGGTCATAGATGCTGATTCGGTGCAGTCGTCCATCAATGTCCACCTCCACAATCCGCTGTGCCTGGGCATAAGTTAGTGTCTCTCGAGTTGGGGAGCACTTGAGGCTATAAGGGGATGGAGAACGCCTGCCTTCGGCATTCTGCCGGGATCTCCTTCGAGGCTTCCTCATGTTACTTACGGTCCTAATAAGTGTTGTCTGGGAGTGAAAAATGCCTAAGAGAAAAAGCCAAGAGATAAATGTAAGCAGATAGATGGGGGAACACAAGTAGCATAAAGTAGCTCATCCAAACATATAATGAGAAAATTTTCCTTAAGACACCAAAAAGACCACCATGGCTTCATGTGTCCCCACTTATTAAAATTGTCATGTGTATTTACATTTGAATCAAACCAGTGATATAATTGGTATAGGGAACTCCCAGTGATGAAAAATCCTCTACCAATACAAATCAGCACCTGTTCTGAAACATATAGTCTTAGAGTTAGTTGCCAGAAGCACTAAGTCAAGTCACTTGTCTGGAAGGGAAAGTTAGAGGCAGAGCTTAAATTCAATCCTTCCTCACTCCTAAGGCCGGCTCTCTATCCACTACACCAGGTTCCTCTAACTTTTCTATGAACATTTTGAGGCTTACAAATTGCTTTTCTCACAACAGTCCTGTAAGGTAGACAGCACAAGAATTATTGTCTTCATTTTATAATAGAGGAAAAAGACTTAGGGTTCAAATCAAAGTTCATCCATTCCAACATGCTAACCTCACTGTCACCCCCAGAATCACAGAGACCGAGGGGTAGTATCACACCTATGGTTAAATAGGTATCCCTTCTTGGTTCAGATTTCAAACTGCACACACACAGCATCTGAGCTATGTAATAACTCTTAAGAGAAACCCTGAAAACTACAGGACAGGCCTTGCTAAAGGAATCAAGAAAATAACCTAAAGTAGTCTACTCTCTAGAAGGCTTTAAATTAGACAAGTCTAGAAGCCCTGGAAACTCACCAAAGAAATCCTCACTCTGAATTAGAAACCAACACAGGATTAAAATGCCCTTACCACATGTTATAAGCTCAAAAGATGCTCCCTTCCAAAACACATACACCGTTCTACACTCATACAGTGCTGAGAACTATTGTCCACACAACATCTCTGAAGTTTTCCCTTAAGAGGTTTTTAGAGGAAAGGAGCTACAATTGCTGACAAGGAAATTCTTGGCTCTCTCCCTGGTACCCACAGCAAACAATATCCCTTAAAAATGGAGCCTAGAGGGGCAGCTAGGTGGCACTGTGGATACAGCACCGGCCCCAAAGTCAGGAGGACCTGAGTTCAAATCCGGCCTCAGACCAAACACTTGACACCTACTAGCTGTGTGACTCTGGGCAAGTCTCTTAACCCCAATTGACTAAAAAAAAAAAAAATTCTGAATATTAACAAAAATGGAGCCTAGAATACAAGTATATCTGAGCTGGTAATAACTAGACAATAGGGTAACTAACAGGTGCTTCTACTTGTATTATATACCTCACAAGTGAGGCTAAAATGAGATGATGCATATAAAGTACTTAGCATGTTTTAATGTACTACATAAATAACAACTATCATCAGTCCCCCCCAAGGTTTAAAGGACTACATAAACATTTATTATAATTCCACCATGGCAAAATTAAGGCAGATTAATAAGCCACATTATCCACATCTGTGAAGTGGGGCACCACTATCAAATTACCTTACAAGGTAAACTGAAAAACATCAGCCAGAAGCCATATGCGATAAGAAGTCAAAAGTTTTACTTTTACATTCTGCTTCTATTAATTCATCACATGAATTTAAACAAGTGACTTTTCCTCTTTGTGCCTGTTTCTTTTTTTGTATTAATTAATTTAGTTTTCAACAATCATTTCCATAAGCTTTTGAGTTTTAAATTTTCTCCTCCTCCCTCCCCATGGCATGCAATCTGAAATAGGCTATACATATACATTCCTATTAAACATATTTTCACATTAGTCATTTTGTAAAGAAGAATTAGAACCAATAGGAGGAAGCACAAGAAAGAACAAACAAAACAAAACAGCAGAAAAAAAATAAGAGCAAATAGTACGCTTTGATCTCCATTCAAACTCCACAGTTCTTTCTCTGGATGTGGACAGCATTTGCCATCATGAGACTTTTGGAGATGTCTTAGATCCTTGCATTGCTGAGAAGAGCTAAGTCTATCAAAGTAATCATCTATGCCTCAGTTTCTTCATCTATAAGATGTAATAGTAATAATACCTCATTCTCTCATGCTATTGTGAAGAACAAAGGAGATAATGGATATAAAATTGCCTTGAAAAGTATAAAGCACCAATCAAACGTTAGTTTATTATCCTTAATAAGCTGTAATTAGTATCATGGTTAAAAACATCACCTATCCCAACAGCAGCCCAAGATTGACACAAGTTAACAACCTCACCATTCTGGCAAGAATTCATCTTGGGTACTATGCATAGGAAAGGGGGAAGGATGAAGAAACCCATCAAGGAGGGTTGCCCCGTCTTGGGAGGGCTCTGAGTCAGACTTGAACCATCTGGCACCAGCTGGGAGGCCCTAAAAATGCTTCATGCCTTCGGGGCAACCTGTGCCACATGCTGTCAGCCTGCCTGCCCACGTTGCCAAATATTTTGAAGTCCTGTTTCTTTTAGCCACCTCCCAAACAAACTACTAGTTTTCTCAGCTACTTGGAAAGAGAAAGAGAAAGAAAGAAAGAGAGAGAGAGGGAGAGGGAGAAGGAGGGAGGGAGAGGGAGAGGGAGAGAGAGAGAGAGAGTGAGTTGTGTTTGGGGGAGTGGGAAGGGTCTCATTCAACATAATTCCCTCCCTGACTTTTCCAATCAAATACTCTACCCATTAACTAGCTCGGCTCGGTTCAATGGAAAGGGGGAAGGGAGGTGGAAACACTGAGTCTGGAGTCCGAAGACACGGGTTCCAAATATAACTTCTGTCAGCAAAGTGACAAATAATTTAAACTCCAATGGCCTCAGTTTTCCGGTCTGTAAAATGAGGAGATTTAACTAGATGGCCCCTTAAGTTCCTCCCAGCTCTATAAGTATCTTTCTAGGAATGGTGCTCAATTCTATGCTAAACCGGAACTGGGACCAGGGTGACCAGCTCCCTGCCCTCAAGAAGCTTACAATTTAGTTGCAGTTTAGCCAGAGGTCCGTCAGTCCCACCAACGAAAAAAAACAATAGCCTGCCCCAATGGTCCTCCATCCTCCTTCCCCTAACAACCCCACGGGTAACTGGGGAGCTGGAGGTGGGAAGGTATCCCCACAATCAGGCCTCACATGCCACCTGCCCCTGCAACGCCCCTGCACATAGTAGGTGCAGAACGGAGCCCCCTGAGACCTGGCACTTTCATCAGGCAGGTCAAGTCTCTAGCTGACCCCTGCCCCTTTAAGAAGGCAATTCTTCCAGAAGAATCTTTAACCCTTTGGGAAGGGGGAAAAAGTCTAGAGCGAAACAAGAGAGAGCGGAGGGGGGGAATACCTAGAGACAGACAGACAGAAGAGACAGACTGATAAAGCGAGGGAGAGGAGCCGCATCCCTATTAGCCAATCGGCCTGCCAATCCCGGAAGCCCGGTGCCAAGGGCCGCGAGAAGGCGGGACAGCTCTCCCCAACTTCCAATCGGCGGGCGGGGGGGGCGGGGCTCGCGCGGCGGGGGCAGGGCTCTCCCGCTCAGTCGCCAGGGCTAGGGGAGACAAGATGGCGGCGGCGGCGGGAGGGGGGTCCCGCTCCTCTGCTTTGCCTCCCTCCCCCTCAGCCCGCTCGGGCCTCCGCCGCCTCCGCCCCTGGGGAGGAGTCACACGGTTCTACCGCCGCCTGGAGCGGGAAGCCTCCTCCCTCCCCGCGGCCCCTCCCCTCTCCTTCCCTCCCCCGGTCGCCCGGGCCCCGCTGCCCCCGCCCCCGCCCGGGCCCGTGGCCCCCGTTACCTCAGCCCGACCTGGCGGCTCGGGGGCCCCTCGGCCGGGGAGCGGAGGCCTGCTGCTCCCCCACCTCCTCCGCGTCCTCCGCGCTGGCCCCCGCGGCGGCCGCCGCTCCCCGGGGGAAGGGAGGGGAAGGGAAGGGAAGGGGAGGAAAGGGACGGGAGCGGGAGCTGGAGCCGCCGCCGCCGCTGCTGCCGCCACGGAGCCCGGCCAGGGGAGGCAGCGCGGGGGGAGGGATCAGCCCCCAGGCAGGACCCGCCCCTCCGGCCTCCCCCCGCCGCCACCGCCGCCGCCGCCCCTGCCCCTGCTCCCGCTCGCTCCCGCTCCCTCCCTCCCCTCCTCCCCGCCCGCGCCGCCACCGAAAACGCGGAAAAAAACCCACACTCGCCCTCCCGGGAGAGAGGGAGCAGCGGCCGCTGGAGCGGAGCCGGAGCAGCCCCGTCACCGCCGCCGCCGCCGCCGCCACGGGGGCACGGTCCTCCCCTCAGCCTCACGGTGGCGGTGCGGACACCATGGCGGGGAAGGGAGGGGGCGGCCTGCGCGCCTCGGGGCCTCCCGCGCCCGCCCCTCCCTCCGCGCTGCGGGGAGCCCAGGGCGGCTGCTGGGGGTAGGGGGCGGCCTCGGCCCGAGGGGCTCAGCCCCGCCCCCTGTGCTTCCAGCAGGTGGAGGTGGCCGAGGGGACCGAACTGAGTCCTGGGTGACCTTGGGCATGTAGCTTACCCCTCTCTGGGCCTCAGTTTCTTCATCTGTAGAATGAACAGGTGGGACTAGATAACCCCTAGATCCGTTTCAGCTCTCTCTAGGAGGGTAAGACGACCAACCAATGCCTGGAGGAGGGGGAAGGGAGGATGAGGATAAGTGTAGTAGAAAGACTGCGGGATTTCGTAGTCAGGGGGCCTGGGTTCAAATCCCAGCACTACCTATGCAAAAGTGTTTTAATCCCTCTGAGCCTCAGATTCCTCTTAATACAAAATGAAAGGGTTGGACTGTGTACATAGCCAGGATCCTGAGTCATTTAACTAGTAATTTATAAAGTGTCAACTATGTGCCAACCACTGTGTTTATACACTTCGGATACAAAGAAAGACCCCCCCCCCCCGCCCCCTAAAGAAATAAAGATTTAACACTTTCTCAAAGATCTGATTACTCTCTGGAGTAGTCCAGATTACTTCCACCTTTTTTTGAGAACAGCAGTGGAGACTTGTACCTATGTTTTGTACAAGTGAAGCCAGCTGGTTAGTTATTCTAATTAAA